ATCCTTTTAAACAGTTTTCTCCCTCATCTGTTTCAGTGCAGTATACATTATTGAACCCATCTTTCTCAGTCTCCCCTTAACCCCGAGGTCAGTCCTGTTTTACAACAACAGCACCATGCAGTATTTGTTTTTTCGTGACTGAGATACTTCACTCAGCATAATGTCCTCCAGGGTCACCCATGTGTGCCTCAGGAATTTTGAAATATGATAAAAATTGAGTGAAAGTCCATGCTTCTACCAGTCCTTCTGTTGGAGAGTTTTATAATTTAGCTGAAATGATAATGTAAGGATAGGGTTCTTCTGAATTTAATGTCCAAATAATAACATATCATTTTAGATCTGGATTATTTTTAAGATTTCATCTTTTCCTTCTTTTAAAACAGGAATTTACTGATTGACAATGGCAGAAAAACTCTTAAAGAAGTTAGAAATCTTAGATGATCAAGCAAAGATAATCTTCACCCAAAGAGAAAAGGTTTGTAAAAAACTAAAATTCAATTTAATCATGAAATATTTCTAAGTTTCTTCTATGAAAATTCTTTTTACTTTTGAGTTCATGATGGGTTCATAGGAAGATATAACTAATTTGTATAAAGAAAATAACTACATTGGTTGAATCTTCTACCTAAATAGATACTAAGAAGAATAAATATGTATCCTCAACTAGGTAGATTGACACGTGACTGCAGCAATGGGCTTGAGTGTATCAGAGATTGTGAGGTTGGCACAGGATAGGAAAAGGTTCAGAACTGTTGTTCATAGTGTCGCTATAAGTCGTACTTGACTCAATGGCACCTAACAAGTTCTATATCTTACAAGGTTATGATATGTGGTTTAAGTGCTTACAAGGGGAAAGTCCTAAAAAGGCAAATATTAAATGTGATGACTACTATAGTTCCTACCACTGTGTTAAATATATAAAAAGTTATTTAGTTGGTTTCTTTAAAAGGTAATAAAATATGTACAACTCTCAAATAAGAAATAATTTAAACTCATAGAAATCAAGTACATACATGCCTTTGAATTATGCTGTTAGAGAAGAGTATTGAACTCACTTTCTCAGTGAATGCCAAGAGAACAAACAAGTCTGCCCTAGACAGGGTGAAACCAAGCTATTTCTTGGAGGCAAGAAGTTTGAGGCTCTGTCTCATATACTCTGTCTCATATGGGCATGTGGTCAGGAGGAGTCAGTCCTTGGAGAGGAACATCATTTGGATGAGTGGAGAGACAGTGCAGGAAAGGAAGACCTTGAATGAAATGACCTGACAGGAGCTGGGGTAATGGAGGTAAGTGTGTTGGAGACAGTGAGATTGACTCAGGATAGGGCAGGGTTCAGAGTTATTGTATATAGGGTCAATAAGAGTTGCAGGTGACTCAACGGTGTGTAACAACAACAAAGTTAATATCAATAAAGAACACAGTCCTCAAAAGCAATGTTTGTGGCATGTATGAACAATTTAATTTTTAATATGTCAAGACTTACAAAATAATATAACAGTGTAAATAAATGAGGCATGTGTAAGGAGCTTACAGATTGAGATAGACAAAAAAGTGGGCCCGGCCATCAGCTTTGGAATAATGGGCCCTAAAAATCATAGTAAACATTATGAAAACACTAGTACCTGATACAGAACCTGAAGATGAAGTCATAAGATTGGAAGGTCCTCAAAATACAAGAAGATCTGACTCCTTGAAGTAGACTCTACCTTTATGACATGCACTGAATAAAGTTTAAGCCAATGAAGTGTCTTCACTTACTGTTGTGATACAACTCTAAATGAGAATAAATAGATGCAAATACCCATAAATAACTGGAACATGAATGTGTGATCTATGAAACTAGGAACATGGAAAGTTGTCAAAAGGGAAATCGACTGCATAAAGATCAACATCATAAGCATTAGTGACCTGCAAATGACTAATATTGGCTATTTTGAATAAAAAACTCATAGGGTCTACTATTCATGCAATGACAAAATTGAAAAGGAATGATGTCACACTCATCATAAAAAAATTTCAAAATCTCTCCTAAACAATGTTGTCAGTGATAAGTCAATACCAACATACATAGAGATCTGGTGTGAAAAATAATGCAAATGCATTAGTAAGTAAACCAATATAAAATAAATTTTTTTTTTTTTTT